AAAATACGATTGTGTTTTTTTTTCCAAACACACTGATAAACCGCCGTCTGTCAATCGCGCTAAAGGCCGTAGAACGCAGGTGTGCGCTACCTGTTGATCGCAAGGCCACTCCATGTAATCGTATTGGACTTGGTTTACACAAACTACGTTGCACCTGTTGAGGGAGGGGGGGGGGATTTCCTTCAACAACTTTACCAATACACTGAAAAAAAGTTGAATCAATAATTTTCAATGATGCAGGGTTATGAAAGTATAACAATGGCAAACGCCAGGCCATGGGACAGTAGTATGTTTGTTTACATCAAAATGCATGATAGGCTACCATTAAGTTGGCCTACTTTCGTGTTTCTCCATGTTCATAATCCACTTTCACCCAAGTGAAAGGTTACAAGTTGGCAGCAGGAAGTCAAACTTTACCCGACAACAAATTTAAAACACCGGCTACACTTGAGGGGACAACAATTTCACTTCAAGTTGGACATGCACATTTAAATTTATAGCTTTTATAATTGTTTTAAATCATATATTCTGAGATGATGTTTATAAACTTATTTAATTATTCATTTTTCTTAATTGGGCACTTTATAAAAAGAAAAAAATATATTGATTTAAATATCTACACATACAAAATGACAATTTGAGTTATAATAACAATTTTTAAAAAAAACTTCATTCAAGTCTTGCATCTCATGACAGCTGACAGAACATCTGCTTGTTTTGACTTTATCCCCCGCCCCTTTTCCGTATTCCTATTTGCCCTCCCCTAACCCCCCCCCCCCCCCCCCCCCCCGCCCCTTTTATTTAAAAAAAAAAGCCGATGTGCGCCGTAAACCAAAGTAGTCAACTGGTCTATCCTTATGCTAAAGCGTAGCTTGTAGAGCCGGATTGTGCGTACCTCCAACCTTACACAAACGAGCTTTCGATAAAACCTTGAATGTACAGAACTCCTTATGTCGGCTTCGCCAGAGATCCCAAAAGAATGGTGTCGATGTTTTTTAAAAAAGGTTTTTAAAGTCACCCCTCCTCCCCCACACACCATAACATGGCCCACTGAAATTACGTTTTAGATTTTAAGGGTACTTTTTAAAAATAATATTTGCAAGCGTTGCTAAAACTCAAAAACGGTACCCTAACTTGTCATTTACAACTCAACGCTAGTATTGGAATAGTCTATACCATAACATAATCTTTTGGACAAATGCAGCGATGATTTTAGGTGCCTTTTTTTTTTGTAATGTAAACGGATTTAAAATATTTTCCGTGAACGTTGTCCTTTAACAGGAGTCGGCAATCGTTTGAGACAGAAAAGCCGAAAGTTACAATCTACAAAATTTCCCAAGTTTTAAAAAGCCACTAACATTTTATGTTCATTTCGGTAGTGGAAAGCATGGAACCATTGCCACGGTGCTGGCCCAAGCACAGTTGTGGGGCTGTGCTTAATGCCCAGAGGATGTCTGATGGCCATACACGCTCTACTCCACCTATTCTCGCTGTTTTTTTTTTTTAATTTTGTTTAAAGTTGTTTTTGTTTTTACAGTATAATATTTTTGATTTTTGAAAATAATGATATAATTATTATAGCACTGGAGAGCCGCCTCTTGACATCAAAAGAGCCGCATGCGGCTCGCGAGCCGCAGGTTGCCGACCCCTGTCCTATACGATTCAACCTTAAATTCGTAAGTCGAAGCACCATTGTATACCCATTAAAAAAACCGAAACAGTGCATTGTCAAACAATCAAAAACAAATTCATTGAACTAGATCTAGATTCTACAATCTTTAGTTTGATTTTAGATCTAGATCTAAACCGATTAAAAAAAAATTAGATTCTAAAACACATGACGTATTTCCAGGGGCGTAGCGAGGGGGGGGGGGCGGGGGGTGCGGACCGCACCGGGTGACACCATTTAGGGGGGTGACACCAAGGCAAAAAATAGCAAAATATATAGAGAAAAACTTGAGGGGGGGGGGTGCAAATCGAAAGTTTGAGGGGGGTGCAAATCGAAAACTTGAGGGGGGGGGGTGCAAATCGAAAGTTTGAGGGGGGGGGTGCAAATCGAATATTTGAAAGTTTGTCCCCGGGAAGGGTTGCTACGCCTCTGGGGGGGGGGGGGGGGGGTGACACCATTAAGTGCCGCACCGGGTGACACCCGACCTCGCTACGCCACTGCGTATTTCATCCTGTTAATTTCCTTCGCTTTTAGTTTTAGCATGGGTCTGACGGAGAACCGTTACAGTATAGGACTTTCTATTGGGCTACTTAACTTTTGTTTTGTTTATTGGGATTTTCTTTTCTTTTAGCAGTACATCAAAAAGGCTAGCTTATGTCTAAAACTCAATTCCTAGTCCCTAGTGTTAAACTTTTAACTTGTTGATCTATCTAGATCTAGATCTAGCTCTAGATCTAAATCTTAGATCTAGCCCCCCTAGATCTATTTTGTTTCGTCACGCTTCCTCTTCATTTCCTAAGTAGCAATTTTAAGCTTTTGAAAAGTTAAAAGTAGCAGACGTTCAAAATGGATACTAACAAATCGTTGGATTATTATTTACTTTAGATCTAGATCTAAGATCTAGATCTAGATCTAGATTTAGATCTAGAATCTAGATCTATAATCTATTTAAGTTAAATATTTATTATTTATTTATTATTTAATGCGTGTCTTAAATTGTCAAATTGAAGGATTTACTTTTTTTGCTAACTTCACTAGATCTAGAATCTAGATCTAGAAATCTAGATCTAGAGAATCTAGATCTAACTAAAGTCTAGAGATCTAGATCTAGATCTAGAATCTCTAGATCTAGATCTTGATTTAGATCTAGACTAGATTTTTTTTCTAGATCTAGATCTAGAGTCTAGCTAGAGTCTAGATCTAGATAATACTAGATATCTAGATCTTAGATCAAGATCTAAATAAATTTCTAGATCTAGAAAATCTAGATCTAGTCTAAGTTCTAAGTCTAGATCTAGATTTCTAGATCTAGATCTAGATTTTTAGACTTAATAAAAATATAAATAATTTTAATAATTATAGTATTATAGATTCTAGATCTAGAATCTAGATTCTAATCTAGTGGAGAGTAAAAGTCTAGTTAATAGTTTGATCTAAATCTAGATTAGATCTAGATCTAGATCTAGGTTCTAGGATCTAAAAAAAGTCCTAAATCTAGAGTCTAGAGGGGCAATCAGACGCCGGTTAACTAGAGCTATTTAATTTCTACATAAATTATATAGAATCTACACTTTTTTTTCTATTTCATGGGGGGGGGGGGGGGGGGGGGGGGGGGCGGGGCGGCTGTAGACCGTAGGGGCACCCAAAGAGATGCCAGAAAGAAACTACGGATTAGCTAGTTTATAGATCTAGATATTCTAGATCTAGAATGGGATGACATATCTGAAGATCTAGATCTAGCTTGTAAAAGATCGTATTATAATTTAAAAGTTTGACACAGCAACATAGATCTCGTATTATAGATCTAGGATCCATTTCTAATACTTTTCTAGATCCATACTATTATTCGATTATCCCTTTTCAGCCATATGGGTGGTCCGTAGACTAACTATTCTATGTGGCGATGGATGGGGGGGGGGGGGGGAATTCTCAGAAAGTTACGGAATGACGACACACTTTTGCGTGAATTCTAGCCGTTATTTCGCGTTTATAAAACGCTTCGTTTGTAAATTGTAATAAAACTGATCAGCATAGCTATTCAATCTTGACCGAGCTCAGTAAATATTTTAGAAAGAAATTGCACGATTTTTAAAAACAAGTTAATTAAAAAAGTCTAGTGACATTTGTGCGCAATTTCCTTATGTTATCTAAAAATAGCTCTGACGTATAATGTTGGGGTGCGTTCAAGCTAGAAGAACAATCGGTTTGTAGGTGTTTATGTAATTTTAAAATTTGTGACCGAACGAGAGAATATTTTTGAAAACTTTCTTCGGCAATATTGTTCTAAATTATGACAGGAATCGATTGGTACATGTTTCAAGTCGCTAAGTGGTCTGGTTGCCGAGATATGGGCCAAAAACTGAATTTTTTTCGAGGTTTTTTGGCTTTTCCGGGAAATACATGAAAGAAACCCGGAATTTTTATGGCCTATGCTCATACTCGTAGTTTGCTTAACATAATTGCTTTTGGAACTATTCATCGATATTGCTTCGTTAAGGAGGAGATACGACTTAAAGCCCGGACACACATTCATCCATCCATCCATCCATTCCCAGAAATGACGAGTTAATAAACGCAATTCTCCAGAATGGAAATTGCGCTAAAAATGGTGGTGGTAGGTTGAAGTGTGACGTGGATTTTTTTTTTTTAAAGTGATGGTTGGGCAGATTGTGGCAATGGGAAGGAGGGGAGGTAAGCTTTTTATTTAAAAAAAAAAGCTTGCACTATTTGTTGTAATGTGAGTTACTTGGGACAGGGTCGATGCTGGACGTTAAATAAATTACCCCATATATATGTATAATGGTGAGGAGGTTGACTAATTAAAGAACGCAGCCTTAAAGAGCAGCCTTTTCGAATGTAAAAATTATATTAATTACTAGCATCTCCCGCATAGCGCTGCTGCGAACTAAGAAGAAAAGTAACTTATTCATTTCAAGATGGAAAATATTTTCGTCTTTAACTACAAAATGTATCAGCCGAATCTGTTGCAAAACTTAAATTAATTATATTAGGAATGGGGTATTAGTTTGCCTCATAAGCTATCTTAGAAAACTAATGTGCTTATTTCGGTAGTACAGTTCCCAGTGGCGTAGCGAGGTCGGGTGTCACCTGGTGCGGCACTTAATGGTGTCACCCCCCAGAGGCGTAGCGACCCTTCCCGGGGACAAACTTTCAAATTTTCGATTTGCACCACCCCTCAAGTTTTTCTCTATATATTTTTGCTATTTTTTGCCTTGGTGTCACCCCCCCCCCAAATGGTGTCACCCGGTGCGGTCCGCACCCCCCCTCGCTACGCCTCTGACAGTTCCAGTACTTTACACATTGTAGGAATATTTAAAGCGATCTCTCAACTCGCTTTTTAAAAGTATGCAGCAGCTGAACAGTGTAGCCTACTAGTAAAGCTTGCGTTTTGTTTCACATGTTAGAACAACGAGTGCTGAAATGGAAATATCTGCCTATTGATTTCTTATGAGATGTGCCTACCAATGTTAAACATCAAGCCTTGCAAAAATATGATTTAAAAAAAGCTCCGGCAAATGGATGCGTTAATATGTTCTGTAATTACAGAAGATGTAGCTGAAACTGACCAATGTTAAACTTTGAGTAAAACCAACCACTCTTTTTAATCATTACTATTTGTTATATATTAAGGGGAGTCTGGGGATTCAGTAGCTAATCTAACGCGAAATTCGAAATTTTAATTTAAAAAAAAAATACACTATTGCTATATTTTCTAAATCATGCAATTATATGTTTAATGCTGCGTGTATGTACAGTCTAGATTAGCTGTAAAGCTAGAAATTGTGTTGGAAGAAACAACGTATAAGCCACTGCGTCTCATTTTCTAAATTTTGCAAACACAAAAAAAAAAAAAAAAAAAAAAAAAACCGATATAAAACAGAAACCGAGTTTCATTTTGTCGGAAGTGGTATTTAACACTGCTCTTTATCTCTACTAACCCATGAAACACAATATAAAATTGGTAAACAACATCCTAGTCCCTTCTTGTTAGACAGCATTGCATGCGATCCATTAAGAACGACAATCCCCGCTGTTTGAAAGTTTCAGTCACCATAAATCTACTTTCTGCCGAGTCCATGAAACAGGTTGCTCTTGTTTCGCGATGAGCTGACATGATCCCTTTTTATGACCGAATTTTTTATAGTTTACGAAGAAATAGATATTTAACAAGGCATCAGTGTTGTGAAGTTCAGCCCATGTTAACATTATGCTTTAAAATATTTGTTTTTCTCTAATTTAACAAAACATTTTTACGCATTTATTTCCAGTCAACGTTATTAATTAAACAGTAAAGTCTATTCGGAAGTTTCATCATACTACGTTTGTCAAAATTAATTAACAGGTGCAGGGGAGATTATCAAAATACTAGGTTTAATATCTCTCTCTCCCTCTCTCTTTTACATTCTCCCGCTTTTTCTCTCTGCTTCGGCGAACGAAGACATCCGATTTGCTACGTCTGACTAACTCGGTGATGGAAGCACCGGTACGGCGCATGGCCGATCTAGACTATGGAGTGTTGCTGCATCCAAACTAACGCTGCTTTAACGTTTCACTGCTACACGCATGTTGACCCACACCGACCAGCTGACGTTCTCTGTAAAATGTGGGCATGGGTTGACTAGTACGCCGGGACACCGGGAAAAATCCAGGTGGGTCGCCACAACAGTTTTTGATTTGAAAAAAAATAATTCGTTGGTTAAAACTTTAAGTCCAGTGTGTATACGTTTCCATTTTTGTTATTAAATTTATGTAATGTGACTTGATAGACTTAGGCGGACCTCAAGCTTTGATGGTGAAAAAATGTACAATAATGAAGTCAGGATTGGTGCAGCATATTTGTTTCCCAGGCCTCTCGGACAGCCAGTCCACTCCTGTTTGTTTGCGTATTTCTATAATGACAGGCTCTTAAATCATTAATTTTGTTTCGGTTTCATTCGCTATGTATTCACGCATACGGCTGAACTAAAACAAAGCGTCTCTAATATCAATTAGGCAAATGAGGAAAATGGGAAGTAGCTTCTAATTTGACTACAAAAACCTAAATAGGGACAGTAGCGTAGGTAAATTTTGTTATGGGGGGGGGGGGGGGGGGGGAATTTGTTTTGCAAAAAAAAAAATGCAAGGAATTCGACAGGTCGTTTGCAGGTAAGTGTATCTAGAACATCTTTCTATACTATAATATTCCAATTTGTTTATGTATGCATTCACATATAGATTAATGTATATCTTCTTTTTCCAGCCCACTTAAACTACCCTACGTTTTCTTTTCAGCATTTGCTGTTGTTGTTTTTATATTGGTTAAAGATGTTTTTTCGGTTTAAATAAACAAAAATATCCCGAACTTGAAATGGCTATAATTTCAGTATATTTTAGAAAATTATCACCCTGTTAACTCAACGTGAAAAGAATTCGGAATAAAAAAATGTCGCTTACATTAATTAACAGCTACCTACTTGGTAATATAAGGGAAATTTTATGTTATGTTTTACTGGGCAATTTTTTTATTCATTCGCTCGGTGTATTTCTTTTATATAAAACCAAGTTGCAAGAATTTAAAAAAAAAAGATAAAATAAAAAAAAAAAATTAACGAGCGGGTTTCCTAACGGTTTTAACACACTACCCAAAACAGGATGGACGACCGCAGACGTAGGTAACATGAACGGGAGCTACTGTGATCGCGGGTCTTGCCTAAATCCCTACAACTGAATGAAAGCTTGTCTACACTCGGTAGATCTGTTGTGTGCATTCATTTTCAACCCCTCCCCACCTCCCTAACTCCCCCCCCCCCCCTCGATCTCTATTTAAATCTTTTTTTTTTCCAACCTATGACACGTCTTTTGAGAAGCTAGAGCACACCTTACGATTTGTAGAGAGGAATCATTCAAGTTTTTTTCCCCCCTCGTTTCCATTTGCGATGAACAGGGAATAGGCACATAACACATCGGTTCAATGTGGAGCTTATTTAACACATGCTATAGTAGATGATTATAGGGTCGACGTTTTACTGCCATCTGATTTGTGTTGTGTGTAGGATTACACCGCTGCAACTATTAATCGGTCTGTAACTAAGATTTCCAGATTCTTGGGGAGAAAATATGTTTGGTGATTTGTGTTATTAAAACAATTATTTATTACACATGTGAAGTGGTGTTTATTACTCGGTATAGTGTGACATAAATGTGAAACTGTTTTAGGATCTAATTCGGTCTGTGTTGGTATTTGTTTTCTTGTTGTAAATATTAAAATGGTCTTACTTTCTGACCAGTGTGACAGCCATTCGAGGAGTTGTTAAGGTGTGATTTTATGACGAGCTTGACTCCCTCGTCTGCCAGATGACAAGCATGGAGCAGGAGCAACGAGGGATAACATTAAGTCAATGCAGGCCTAAATCTAATGGTACGCTGACCCACGTGGCGAAGGGAACCAGTCAACCTACTGGATACCGGAACAATCGGATTAGTTCACTTGGACAACCTTAAACATTATGGTAACTTTTTTTCCACATTTTTTCTGGAGTTTTTTTCTCTATGTTCAGTTAAATAATAAAGTGTGGTATTACATTTGTAGCACCCTTCGTTCAGCCGGTGTGTTTACCGAGCTCAGTACCACTCTGTACCAATCCTTGATTTTAAATTAACATTGTAGGCTACCCGATGCACGATATTTATATCGAGTAATTAAACACGATGAAAAAATGTCCGGTATAGGGACGTTTCCCAGTGTAGTCGTCCATGTCATATAAATTATGTCAAGTTTGACGTGACAAGCTAGGGTGTAAATATTCTGGTCTAATGATGAAGTTCATTATCACCTCGTTAAACTCCGACCTCTAAGGAAACCGCAGTTTGAAAACAAACTTTAGTAATACAGATCAGTATGTGTAGGTCTACAGGGTTTTGCCAAAGCGCTTATACTCTCCATACAATTCTTTTGTAAACACGTAGCCTACCGCATATCATTTGGGAACTAGTATTCAACACACACCCAACACAAAAACACATGCAATAGAACATACGCTGGTGAAATAACTAGTTTTACATCTAGATCAATGATTGTTCATTATATACAATTTTCAGCCCTCAACACATGTGTACAGAGTTCAACACGTCAAAATGTTATTCAATAGGGCCTACACACACTAACTTTTTATAGTACCTAGGCCCAAGCTATGACTCATAATTTCTCATACACAAATCAACTCCGATATCTTGACTTGCACCAATTGTAATCGACTCCATTAATCTTTTTCGTCCGTGTGTGTGTGTCATGGGGCATGGCGATTATTTAAAAAATAGCTTAATTTGGTGTTCTTAGCTTGTTCGTTTCATTCGTTTGTTTCATGTTGCATTTTAAATGGCTTAAGTGGAAAAATTATGTATGCTATGTTTTGCTAATTTTTCCATCTTTATTCAATACATCGAAAGCACATTAGTCTGTCTTTTATGAAGTCGTTTTTACCAACTCAACCACGAAACTGACAATTAATATCTGCTTTCATTTACCTGAGCATATAATGTTACCCAACCGTAGCAAACTCGAAATTAAATACTCAACACATGGGTTATCTATTTTTAACGAATATTATCTTACCATTCAATTCTAAACACGAAAAGGCCTGCTAATATGTGTATTTGTGATCATGTAGCTGGCTTTGGTAACTAAAAATATCGAGCAAACTTTACAATGAAATGCTAGAATTGTTGTTAAAGTGAGGTAACCAGTTTGGTTTATAGGACAGCCAATTGTTATATACGCATGCGTACACACACATACATACACCTCATAAATTGTGTATATGTGTATATATATATATATATATATATATATATATATATATATATATATATATATATAGAGAGAGAGAGAGAGAGAGAGAGAGAGTGTATGAATGTATGTATGCGTGTGTTCAATAATTTAATTAAGCATTATATTTCAAATGCATCTGATCTCATTCATCAGTTATTTACATCTATGCCATCCTGGATGGACATTTGATTAAAAAAATAATTTGTAAATGATGTTTTATAAACTCTACACCATATGCGTTGGACTGAAATTTAGTAGCAATCCTAATTTTATTTAAAGCATCAAATGTATGACACTTTACTAACCATGATTTGTATTGCTTGCCAAAATAAAACACCGAATAATAATTAAAAAAAAAACAACAACAACAAAACTTCAAACTGCACCTAACTACACAATAGAAACAAAACTGTTTCGTCTATGCAATTATTTTTAAAATTTATGTAGGCCTGTATTCTCATAGAAAGTTATTTATAGTTTCTGGTCTCTAAACAAAAATAATTTTTCAATTTTTACTTTGTAAATGAAAGAAAACCTTATGGTAATGTGAAAAATAAATAGAAAAATAATGCTTGCCCAAATTGTATAAAAAATACGATTAGATTAAAGTTGAGAGTCTAGCTAGCTAGACGTCAGTGTAAAATGTATAGTTCCAACTGAAGTTCGTCAAGTAAGGACTGACGTAAACTTGAGTGAAAATCAGCCTGAAAGTGTGTGCCCGGTTGATTTTGACTGGTGAACGGTGTAGCTTAATATCATTTGCGCATGTATTGTGTGATTTAAATATAAACGTGACATTTGTAAACTAAGTATGTTATGTATCTATAACTGGCTGCGGTTTAAAAGGATGCCATGCTATGACTCCACTAAGGCTTGATACACGGAAGCGTCGGATGTGATATGATTTTATTATATCACATTGTGTTTGGTCCAAGATATTTATTTGTGCTGAAACAAAAACCCCAAAAAATATATTCTCGCTGATACAGCACTAGGATACAGATGGGATATTGCACAAGATTATTGGTGGGATATGATTGGATACATGTAGGACACTGCACTAGGATACAGATGGGATACTGCACAAGAATATTGGTGGATATAAGTGGATACTTGTAGGATACTGCACAAGAATATTGGTGGATATGATTGGATACTTAAGAATACTGCACTAGGATACAGATGGGATACTGCACAAGATTATCGGTGGGATATGATGGGATACGGGTAGGATACTGCACTAGGATATAGATGGGATACCGCACATGGATACTGGTTGAATTCTGCACAAGGATTCTGATGGGATTCAGCTCAAAAATACTGGTGGGATTCTGCGCAAGGATATTGGTGGGATAATGATGGGGCACTGGTGGGATACTCCACAGCGATTCTGGTGGACTACTGCACAAATAAATTGGTAGGATAATGATAAGTTACAAGTGGGATTCTGCACAAGGATTCTGATGGATTCATGGGACGCTGTCGCTTAACATATGGCCTCTCCTTACTTTTATCTGAATAAAACACGATTTAAAATTTAAAGGCATTACATGCCCTTAGTTGCTTATACATTTTGAACGTAAATGTAACATATTATAAGCTTTTGGAACATTTTCTGTATACATTATCATAATACATTGTTATCTCTTCAGTTTCCTGCTACACCATCATCTCTTCACTTTCCTGCTACACCATCATCTCTTTACTTTCCTGCTACACCATCATCTCTTTACTTTCCTGCCACACCATCATCTCTTTACTTTCCTTCTACACCATCATCTCTTCACTTTCCTGCTACACCATCATCTCTTCACTTTCCTGCTACACCATCATCTCTTCACTTTCCTGCTACACCATCATCTCTTCACTTTCCTTCTACACCATCATCTCTTTACTTTCCTGCTACACCATCATCTCTTTACTTTCCTGCTACACCATCATCTCTTTACTTTCCTGCCACACCATCATCTCTTCACTTTCCTTCTACACCATCATCTCTTCACTTTCCTGCTACACCATTATCTCTTCACTTTCCTGCTACACCATCATCTCTTCACTTTCCTTCTACACCATCATCTCTTTACTTTCCTGCTACACCATCATCTCTTTACTTTCCTGCCACACCATCATCTCTTTACTTTCCTGCTACACCATCATCTCTACACTTTACTGCTACACCATTATCTCTTCACTGCTACACCATCATCTCTTCACTTTACTGCTACACCATCATCTCTTCACTTTCCTGCTACACCATTATCTCTTCACTTTCCTGCTACACCATCATCTCTTCCTGCTACACAATTATCTCTACACTCACCATAGCAGTAGCTAAACAATTACATATTTCCTGTGAAAACCGTTTGTTCCATTGTCATCCCCTATAACTAGTATCGTGACAGCTGACTCTATAGAATTTAAAAGCATCAATTTATCCTTTTGTGTGAAAGTGTGATGTCAAGCGGTTGACTAATCAATGGGAAGGACATACTGCATTATTTATAAAGTCTTTGAACAAGACAAACCATGTGCAATGCGGGTGATATCTAGATTAGATTTTGAATACTATATTTCTACCTCTAGATAGAACACACTGTTGCCAATCTAGCAGTTTCTTTACAAATGATAGTTTTTCGGTAACAAAGCGCCTTTGACATAGTTGATAGTTAGCACCCAGATCCATAGCTGTATTGATCTGTTGTGTTAGCACCAAACCGTGTCATATAAACCTCGACATTAGTCCTTGTGCCAAAATACAGGTATTGATTTGATACAAATCATTAAACAGGCTCTTCTATTATTTGTATGTCCTTTGCGTCTTACAAATTTATTTTTTGTATATGCACGTTATAACAGCTAAAAACTACGTTGACGTCGACCATTGTAGAAAAGTTTAAAACAGATACAATCATTAAAATATAATGACTGAAATAAGTAAAACCATAGTCCTGTCTATCTTTCAATTCATATATATATATATATATATATATATATATATATATATATATATATATATATATATATATATATATATATAAAATTACATTGATTTTCAAGTGCATGTATTAGTGCACTAATTAATATTTATCTCGCAGATTAATGGTAATTATAAACAGTAAATGTTTCAAGTGACGAATTTGAAGAAGACAGAGTTAGACCAAGTTTTCATTCGTTGCACTCACATCTGAATTTTTGTCCTCAGAGTTCAGGATGGATTAAGCGCACTCGTAGCAGCTCGGAAATTGGAATGTTGCGTACAATAGCTAACAGCTGCAGGCCTACAACATGCTTGCTTGTGTAGCCTCATTACTATAGCGTAACAGCAAAATAGTGGTAGTGAAATCAATAACTCCCATCCTTGAGCATCTAGTCCGTGGTATTTCTTACTAGTTAAGGATGTGAAAAATACGTTTTAAATTCGGTTGACATTATGTTGGCGCCAGTGTGGAAGCTTGGTACATGACAACATTGACATTGGTTTATATTGTAAACAAACGGAGAAATGTGAGCCTGGGTTCAACAATTGTTGCCATAAACTGTGGTGAATTCGTTTTTATTCGAAGAAATGTCATGGTTGGACTCCGACCTGTGGCCGTTTTATATCAGTGTTAGGCTTTAAAATAGTACAACTACTAGTTTATGTTGTAAGATATTTAGTTTTAATCTTTACTTTAGAGTGCTTTCATTAGATTTTGTCATAATTGTTAGTTGCTAGATTTTGCACTTTCCCCTCAAGATGTGAGAAATATTTTAACAAGAGGATTTAAATAAGGTTCAAACTATTCAATATATCATTGTAAAGTTTTCTTGTGAGTAAAAGTTAAAACGTTAAATTTTTGCCCCTGGATTTTCTTGATACACCTGTGTAGTGATCTTGGAAGATTAGTTGACCTAAGTCGACCTTTGCTGTCGAGTCATCGATTGGTATAATTGGCCCCGCTTTCTGTTGCCAGTCATGCTGGTGTTAAGGCCGAGTCTGACTCTATTCATCGTGGCGGTGTCGCTTGCAGCTCTTCTCACAACTGTTTCAACAGCTCTACCCCAAGCTGCCACGACAACGGACGGATCAGGAGATCGTGCTGGACACGCCACGGAAATCGCTCAACGGAATTGTACTCGTGCATCGTGCAGTGGTGCCATGGGCGAGCCGAGCCGCCGTGAGAGGGCACCGGTACGGGAGCCACACGGATATGGAAATAAAACAAAAACTGTTCAGGACATCTCTGTCATCCCGCCCCCTGGTGGCATTTACAAAAGACGGAACAAGAAGAACAACTCTAAAACAGGCAAAAAAACAGCCAGTCCGTGGACAGGTAAGATGAACTTTATTTTGTATCAGTTGTAATCATTATTACACCTATATTTACACTCTATTATCATTATAGTAGTAGTATTAAAGACTTTCTTTTGAAAACAAAATGTTCATTGTGCCTAAAATTAGATATAGAATATTAAAGATACTTTCTTTTACTTTGAATTTTTAGAATACAGTTTAGATCTAATAGAAAAGCCTATAAATAAGGATTCTGTCTTAATATAATAATTAATGCCTTTAAAAACCATTAGTTTTACATTAATGTTAAGTTTTTTTCCCAAGCGCTTATTTTAGTTTACTATCTGCTTCAATACTATAAAACAACGCCTTAACAATCATTGTTCTTTTATATTTTACAAGCATCAACTTTGATCATAGTTAACATCATATAATTTGTTGTTTCAATATCAATAACTGAACGAGAATAATCTGGCGTTCTAGTTTCGTTTTACTATGACGAGCTGGAAATTATTGTACGCTTGTCTATTATAAATATCATAAATTATGAGCTTTTCGTTGTTACAACTGAATGACTAGATTTAAAATGTGAGATCCTAGCTCTAGAACTCAATGACATTTCGGCATAATATGCACATAACGTTGTGGTCTTGCTTTTGTGGCAGTTTGACGAATGGTTTAAAAATTAACACATAATTCACAACAATAGATGAATTGATGCCAAGTTTTAAATATGTATCTGGATCTAGATTCCAATCGTCTGTTAATCAATACTTAAAAAATGTTTCTTCTTACATGAATACGTGGTCTGTGTACAGGTATGGCCAATGTTTATGGTTTGGAAAGGTTCGCTCATATTTACACGGCATTTGGTGCCAGTGCTTTCGTAGGACCAACGTTTATAGTGAAGAAACTGGCCTTTCTCGTTGTGTGAATCTTAACAAAGTGACCCGTATATTTACATGACAAAAAAAAAAACCCACATGACCTTGATTGAGGTTTTTATGGAGTTGCAGCTGTTTTTAGCCTAAGTCAGCTTTTTCCAACAGTGTTATGTCTCAGTGACACCCCCCCCCCCCCCCCCCCCACACCCTACACACGCTTTGCATTATTCTTCTTGCTACATCTTATCCATTTAAACCACAGCTGCAGGAGACGCGCTAAAGTACAGTCAGCAAGCTTATCCTGGTACTTTTCTGTGTAAGGCATTATGGTTTGTGACTAGACTTGCCATTCTATCAAACAACTAAGGCATTATGGTTTGTGACTAGACTTGCCATTCTATCAAACAACTAAGGCATTATGGTTTGTGACTAGACTTGCCATTCTATCAAACAACCAAGGCATTATGGTTTGTGACTAGACTTGCCATTCTATCAAACAACCAAGGCATTATGGTTTGTGACTAGACTTGCCATTCTATCAAACAACCAAGGCATTATGGTTTGTGACTAGACTTGCCATTCTATCAAACAACCAAGGCATTATGGTTTGTGACTAGACTTGCCATTCTATCAAACAACCAAGGCATTATGGTTTGTGACTAGACTTGCCATTCTATCAAACATCTAAGGCGTTAGGGTTTGTGACTAGACTTGCCATTCTATCAAACAACCAAGGCATTATGGTTTGTGACTAGGCTTGCCATTCTATCAAACATCTAAGGCGTTAGGGTTTGTGACTAGACTTGCCATTCTATCAAACATCTAAGGCAATAGGATTTGTGACTAGGCTTGCCATTCTATCAAACATCTAAGGCAATAGGATTTGTGACTAGGCTTGCGATTCTATCAAACAACCAAGGCATTATAGTTTGTGACTCGACTTGCCATTCTATCAAACAACCAAGGCATTATGGTTTGTGACTAGACTTGCCATTCTATCAAACAACCAAGGCATTAGGGTATGTGACTAGACTTGCCATTCTATCAAACATCTAAGGTATTAGGGTTTGTGACTAGGCTTGCCATTCTATCAAACATCTACGGCGTTAGGGTTTGTGACTAGACTTGCGATTCTATCAAACATCTAAGGTATTAGGGTTTGTGACTAGGCTTGCCATTCTATCAAACATCTACGGCGTTAGGGTTTGTGACTAGACTTGCGATTCTATCAAACATCTAAGGTATTAGGGTTTGTGACTAGGCTTGCCATTCTATCAAACATCTACGGCGTTAGGGTTTGTGACTAGACTTGCGATTCTATCAAACATCTACGGCGTTAGGGTTTGTGACTAGGCTTGCCATTCTATCAATCATCTAAGGCGTTATGGTTTGTGACTAGGCTTGCCATTCTATCAAACATCTAAGGCGTTAGGGTTTGTGACTAGGCTTGCCATTCTATCAAACATCTAAGGCATTATGGTTTGTGACTAGACTTGCCATTCTATCAAACAACCAAGGCATTATGGTTTGTGACTAGACTTGCCATTCTATCAAACAACCAAGGCATTATGGTTTGTGACTAGACTTGCCATTCTATCAAACAACCAAGGCATTATGGTTTGTGACTAGACTTGCGATTCTATCAAACAACCAAGGCATTATGGTTTGTGACTAGACTTGCCATTCTATCAAACAACCAAGGCATTATGGTTTGTGACTAGACTTGCCATTCTATCAAACATCTAAGGCATTATGGTTTTGTGACTAGACTTGCGATTCTATCAAACAACCAAGGCATTATGGTTTGTGACTAGACTTGCCATTCTATCAAACATCTAAGGCAATAGGATTTGTGACTAGACTTGCCATTCTATCAAACATCTAAGGCGTTAGGGTTTGTGACTAGACTTGCCATTCTATCAAACATCTAAGGCAATAGGATTTGTGACTAGACTTGCCATTCTATCAAACATCTAAGGCGTTAGGGTTTGTGACTAGACTTGCCATTCTATCAAACATCTAAGGCGTTAGGGTTTGTGACTAGACTTGCCATTCTATCAAACATCTAAGGCAATAGGATTTGTGACTAGACTTGCCATTCTATCAAACATCTAAGGCGTTAGGGTTTGTGACTAGACTTGCCATTCTATCAAACATCTAAGGCGTTAGGGTTTGTGACTAGACTTGCCATTCTATCAAACATCTAAGGCGTTAGGGTTTGTGACTAGACTTGCCATTCTATCAAACATCTAAGGCAATAGGATTTGTGACTAGGCTTGCCATTCTATCAAACAACCAAGGCATTATGGTATGTGACTAGACTTGCCATTCTATCAAACAACCAAGGCATTAGGGTATGTGACTAGACTTGCCATTCTATCAAACAACCAAGGCATTAGGGTATGTGACTAGACTTGCCATTCTATCAAACAACCAAGGCATTAGGGTATGTGACTAGGCTTGCCATTCTATCAAACAACCAAGGCATTAGGGTATGTGACTAGACTTGCCATTCTATCAAACAACCAAGGCATTAGGGTATGTGACTAGGCTTGCCATTCTATCAAACAACCAAGGCATTAGGGTATGTGAGACTTGGTTGTGGTTACTGTCACACCTATAACATTTCACCAAATTTACATGGATACAGCTCAGCTGAAAGCTATCATTGTATTTTCCTTTCCGCAGCTAATGACTTGCGTACGTTTGTCCTGTCAACCCCTACATCCTATTCATTTCTTTTCTAACAGCTGACTAGGAAACAAACGTAAATTTTGCCGGTTCATTTTTTTCTTCTACCCCCCCCCCTCCCACTCCAAGTAGTATGTGTGAGGATGCTTAAAAACATGGTGTGTGTGTTTGTGTACACAGCTTTTCAGTGTCAGAGACCCAATACCTACGCGAGTGTGTATATATACACTAACTAAATAGAGAATGGTTCTGAAAGTAGTGAGACTGTTGCCGTCTAATCTAGGCCACTCGCTTATCACGGTAACAATCGGGACCTGAACTAGTAGTGGTCTTGTTGGTCAATTGAGAGAGGTGGGAGGGGGGGGGGCTTCTTTTCGGGAGAGGGCACTGCAAGATAAATATCAACAAGACTGGAGTGTTAACAGAAACATGACTCAGCGGTGCTTCAATCGGTCTGTGACAGGTCACATAGCCGTGCTCCAGTTGGGCCAGTCGTCAGACAGATAGGCCCTAGTTGTGGTTAGTTCCTGTGTGTGGTCGTCAGACAGATAGGCCCTAGTTGTGGTTAGTTCCTGTGTGTGGTCGGCAGACAGATAGGCCCTAGTTGTGGTTAGTTCCTGTGTGTGGTCGTCAGACAGATAGGCCCTAGTTGTGGTTAGTGCCTGTTTGTGATGGGCAGACAGATAGGCCCCAGTTGTGGTTAGTTCCTGTGTGTGGTCGTCAGACAGATAGGCCCTAGTTGTGGTTAGTTCCTGTGTGTGGCCGGTAGACAGATAGGCCCTAGTTGTGGTTAGTTCCTGTGTGTGGTCGTCAGACAGATAGGCCCTAGTTGTGGTTAGTTCCTGTGTGTGGTGGGCAGACAGATAGGCCCTAGTTGTGGTTAGTTCCTGTGTGTGGTCGTCAGACAGATAGGCCCTAGTAAGCAGTTGTGGTTAGTTCCTGTGTGTGGTCGGCAGACAGATAGGCCCTAGTTGTGGTTAGTGCCTGTTTGTGATGGGCAGACAGATAGGCCCCAGTTGTGGTTAGTTCCTGTGTGTGGTCGTCAGACAGATAGGCCCTAGTTGTGGTTAGTTCCTGTGTGTGGTGGGCAGACAGATAGGCCCTAGTTGTGGTTAGTGCCTGTTTGTGATGGGCAGACAGATAGGCCCTAGTAAGCAGTTGTGGTTAGTTCCTGTGTGTGGTCGTCAGACAGATAGGCCCTAGTAAGCAGTTGTGGTTAGTTCCTGTGTGTGGCCGGTAGACAAATAGGCCCTAGTTGTGGTTAGTTCCTGTGTGTGGTCGTCAGACAGATAGGCCCTAGTTGTGGTTAGCTCCTGTGTGTGGTCGTCAGACAGATAGGCCCTAGTTGTGGTTAGTGCCTGTTTGTGATGGGCAGACAGATAGGCCCCAGTTGTGGTTAGTTCCTGTGTGTGGTGGGCAGACAGATAGGCCCTAGTTGTGGTTAGTTCCTGTGTGTGGTGGGCAG